CAAAGGTCTGTCCAGAGGTATCTCCCATGAAGTTGCATTGGACAAGCGCCATTGCCAGTCATGGTTAGAAGGTGCATTTCGCTCCCCCCCATCTTTCCTGACCTGAAATGACCTGCTTCTTAGCAAGCCCTGGTTCCTTCAGTGGAGGGGGGTTCGCCCCTCACCCGGCTGTCCTTCGCAGCGGCACCGAGCAGTTCCTGGATGAGCACGCAAAAGCGAGGAGCCGGGCGGGGGGGGGGCAGTGGTTCCGGCGGCGTCCTGGGACTCAGGATCAGGTCCCTAGACCCCACTTGGCTGAGAGGACTTTGGGATAGTCACGGACTCTAAGCCTAACCTGCTTTGCAGGGTGTTTGTGAGGATGACATGGAGAGGAAGAAGATGTGAACGGCCTTAGGTTTCTTGCACCAGGGCTGTAAATGTAGAAACAGTAAATAAGGCGCCGTCTTGGCATTTTTAATCCTCCAGATCGGGGCAGGGAACACGGGGACTGTGGCGCCGATGCTCCGTCCGACATTTCCATCGCGTTGCACCGTCGTGTCTGCTCTGACTTAGGCGCTTCCAGCGTCCTGCCCTCGGCCGCCCTGCTCAGCTCGGCTTCCTAGGTGGAGCTGATCCCTCTCCTAGCTGCTCCTCCTCACCTTCTGCCTTCGACTTTCCCTAGCGGGATGGTCTTCTCCAGGGAGTCCTGCTTTCTCGTGATGTGCCCGAAGTTGGACAGCCTCAGTTTCGTCCTTTTTGCATCCAGGGAATGCACGACCTCCGTGGGTGCCCACAAGTGCTCTTCCCCTCCCAAAGCCTTATTTTTAAAAAATGGATGTGTTTTCTTAGCAGCGCCTGGGAATGCTTTGAAATAGGTTTCTCTTGATACTGAAACTGTGGTGTTCAAAGGGTTGTCCGTCTCGGGCTTACCTCTGGCTTGTGCTCAGGCTGCTTCTGCTGCTGCTTTCACAGGCCACCGAGCAGCAATTCTTCACGGCCTGGGACCGCTTTGTCCACGGCCAAGGGGTCCCGATCCCCAAAAGCTGGGCTAGCCCTGCCTTAGGAGTTGGCAAGCCAACGCCTCGGCCGCATCTCTCGGCTTTCTCAGAGTTCGAGTGGGAGCTGCAGAGCCTTGGGCCTCCAGCTGCGGGTGCCTGCATTTTCTTGCGAGATGAAACGGTCCATTTTACAGCATTTGGGGGGCGGGGGGCAGGTAATCAAATCCTTTTGATTTGGAGCGGCTGCGTCGGGTCAGTTTCCTCCCCAAGCTTCCCAGCAGATTTAGCTTGGCTTCCAGTTGTGTATTGATCAGCACGCGATTCCTCCCAGAAGACAGGCGTATCCGCATTTGTTCGCAATCGAGGCTGCCGATTACTCTTCCATGGTCTAATTATCCTTCTCTAGGCCCAGGTATCCTTCAAGAGCTATCATTTTCCTAGTCCCAAATTCCCAGCACTTCTGTATAGACTTTTACTGCTGCCCTGACCTCCCAGACACTTCCTCTTTCCCCAGCCGGGTTGCCTCTCTTACACGCTCACTTAAAGTAATTTGTACTTTTTTACTCTGTTTGGTATAATGAGGGCATTGAACATACGCCATTCTTGTGCACTGGAACAGTGGCGATAATTTTGAAAGCCCAACGCGGGTTATTTTGAAGGCAACTTCAGGATGAAGGCACCCAGGCTCGGCTGCTGGATTTTGTCGGCCCTTTTGCAGGAGCTTGGCTCTGACCTTGATTCTGATAGCCTTCCGCAACCATTCATGCGATAAATAAAAATGACAATCGAGGATCAATATATTAATCTCTTCCCCACACTTCCGTGTTGGCGTTGTCGTGCATTTCAGGCGGCCACCAGTTCTCCTGCCTGAGAACTGGTTCGCAACAGACGTGGCGCTGGCTTAAAAGCTTTGTGTCACAAATTGCAGGCCACGCTGGTCAGACACCTGGCTTCCCTCTTCCGGTTTAGTCCCTTGCTGGATCTGGATTGGGATGCCCAGCTTTCTCCCGTCCGCAGAGGGGTGGTGAGGCTGAGCAAAGGCAGGGAGGCTCCGTGCTGCGGGTGGGGTGGGGTGGGGGAAGGAAGAGCCCCCCCCCCCCCGTCTGGGGCTCGTGTCGCGGCTGTTGCAGAGGTAATCTATCAGTTTCGGAGCAGCTACAAAACGCCAACTCTCCAGATAACGGGTTTAAAGTAAAGATTTAATGCCATCTCTCTGCTATGGTGTTGCAATGACAGTTTAAAACTCGTTCTCTAAATCTCAGCAGACTTTATAGCCAGCAGTGGGCCAATATAGAGTTTAATGGCATTACAACCCATAAATCATCTTTTAAAGATGATACCAGTGGCTCCAAAATTAAATGCAGACAATCTCCTCCGTTATAAATAATTTATCAAACACCATTTCGGATGAGCCCTCCACGCAGAGTTATTTATTTTAGCCTTTACTGCTCAATTCCTCCGGCGCGCTTTGAGAGATCCATTACTGGTCAGTTTAATGAACTTGGGGGTCCGTGCTGCCCCCCTCCAGCAGTTTGGCGCATCTGCGGTGACCATTACGCGGCTGGTCCGGACCTCTTCGTGCCTCTCGCAAGTGTTGCCCATTTGTCTTGTGGCGGTAAATGGAGGAGCACATAGGAGCCCTGGGACGCATTGCGCGATGTGGCAACGGAGGCGAGCCGAGCGGTCTATAAAGGGTTTCTTGTCACAGCTGAGCAGTGTTACAGTACATCACTCGTACTGTAATCTCATTTAAGGAGCAGTCGTGTGCCCAGGAGAATGATATTCCCAGTTAGCTTGGGCTTTGCAACCATAAAGGAAGAAGTGCTCCTTTTATATACTCGGGAATTTTAGGGTACTTTTTTAGATTAATTATTTCCCTGCATCGTTCGTGCCCCCGTCGTTAAGAAGTGGCTGTCAGCACTTTTGCAATCAACCTCGGCTTTCCTGCCCTAAAGACCGCTCTCGTTGGCATGCAAGGACCAGCAGAGGAGCAGTTTTCCTGAGACAAGGTTCGGTGCCATCCTGTCCTCTTTCGCAAAATTAATATCCCGCTAGTGCTGAAGTGCTCCTTCATTTAAAGCGAAGGATTTCATCAAGCATATTTTTTAAAAAATTGACCTGACCTTCATGTGACGAGGGCACTTTGAACGATACTTTAAATCATACTGGGGCCGGGCGTGTTGAAGGTTTTTAGCTTAAACCCTTAAAAGGGCATTGGAAACTTGCTCAAACGCTGTTAAAAGCGGTTGAAGCTGAGACTTCAAAAAAGAGAGAGGACAGGTGCTTTGCCTTCAGTCTCAAAAGCAGGGCCTGTTTTTCTGTCAGTGTCGAATTGTGGGTACACAAAATAAGTATTTGTTGCTAAACTCGGAGGAGTGTAGCTGTGTCCCGCTGCCTTGCCGGGCTTGCGTTAATGTGTCGCCGGCCTGCCCTGCCTTTCAAGGACCATGTGATGATCTGATCCTGGAAGCATCGGAGGCGCCGGCAAGAGTCCCTTGAGCGAGACACGCCGAATGGGGGCCCCGCTTCTCATTGTGCACGGGGACAAAGCTCCGAGCCACATGCATTCATTTGCGAGTGGGAAGCCGAGCCAGTAAGCCGAGTGCAGGCCTTGGGCCTGGGTTATAATTGAGCTGTGAGGATCGGGGGGCCGCCGTGGGAAGCCCCTCTTGTGCGGAGGGTCTCGGGAGATGGCGGAACATATGCCGGGAACGGGCACAATCGCCCTTCAGGGACCTTTTCAGCGGCACTGCTGCAGCTGCGGCTCAGACCGGGGACACCCTGGGCTTTGGACGAGCGTGTCTCCTGCATCCTTATTCCGCTGTGGAAGCCCCTGCCTGTGGGGCTCGGAGGAGGCGTGAACAGCTCTCGCCTTTGCGTGCTGGCACCCCGAAGCAAGTGGAAAGGAAAGCGGGCCGTGCCTTTGGAAGGGAGCCTTGGGATGGAGAACAGAGTTCCGCCTCCCGGCCTTTTCCTGGCCTTGTGCAGGAAATGAGCAGGGGGGCCGGCCTGGGAAATCCGTGGTGCGACGGGGGTGGGACTGCCCTGCGCCCTCCTGGCAGAGGGGCTCCGAAGAGCAGAGCAGCTGACTGGGCCTGGGCAGCCTTGCCCGAAGAGCCAGCGGCCTCCTTCGCAAACACGCCCGTCCCGTTCGCCCGGGGTGCCGTGTCCAGAGCGGCTGTGGGGAAGCAGCCTCCCTTCCCTCCAAGGGCCTGTAGAGGGTGCTAACGGAGTGCCGATACAGGACCCTTTTCCCGTCGGCGGCCAAACGCATCCCTCCTCTGCTGACACGCCACGGATGGAGGGGACAGTGGCTCTGGTGGAACGTGACTGCAGCGGGCACTGGCGAAGTGCACGGAAGGGGCTGCTTGTCGGTCCCTGGGAGGCCGCCCGGCTCAGGGTCTTCCTCCTGCGAGCGTGCAGAGCAGCCCCTGCCCTCGCCTCATGGGCCGCTGTCCCACCGAAGTGGCTCCGTACCTAAATAAAGCAGGGAGCCAGTTTGCAGGGCCCGTGTGCCCACGGAGGGGTGAATTCCCCACGGGGCTGGCCCGCAGTGGCCGCTGTTTACCGCCACCCCACGTGGACCTGGGGCAGGGCTTGCCTAAGGTTAGGCGTTCCGCAGAAAATGGGTGACACGCGGCCGCCGCTGCTCCTGTTTGCTCCACGCAGGAAGCCACAGCACCTTAACGACTCTCGTGCTTCTTCTGGCAAAAACTTTTGTCAGCTTCAGCCCCTGCCTGCGAGACTTGGGAAAAGGAGGCTTGCCCCTCCCGAGATGGGCACAGATGCCGTCCTCCCTGTTTTCTTCCTTGGAAGGGTGACGGCATCAGTGGGGCATTTCCCTGCTTGTTTGAACGGAGCGAGACCTCCGGCTCCACGGGGCCCATTGGCATCCGTCTTGTGTTGCCTCCTCGAGAGATGATCCTCGAAGAGGTTGTGCCTCACGGTCGGAGCACTGCGCGACTGGTTGGAAAGGGCAGGGCAGCCGACTACCTGAAATGGCATGGATTCTTTTTCTTCCAGGAAGAGGAAGCCAAACAGCTGGTGAGAGATGCTATTGCCGCTGGTATTTACAACGACTTGGGCTCCGGCAGCAATATTGATCTCTGTGTCCTCAGCAAGAACAAACTGGACTTCCTCCGCCCTTACGATATGCCGAACAAAAAGGGAGAAAGGTGAGTGTGTGGACCCCCTTTTGGTCCACCTTCACGGCCAGATCCTTCCATGTTGCGATTCTGAAGGGCAACATGCAAACACGCCTGGCTAGGAGAAGCTCAGAGCATGTTGTCCCCGGTGTTGAGGGCACAGTCTGTTTTAGCTTAGATAATTAAGATGCCCTCTTGACGAACGAGCGGACAGAAGAATTGTTCCGGCCACAGTTGTCAGTGCCAGAGCGGCCTGTTCGTTTCCAGAGCCAGGTGAGCTTGTTGCAACGGCCATGAAGGGTTCTGGGGAGAGGCTCACGCGGGTGCAAGTGCCGCCGAAGCAGAGCTGGCGGTTCCTTGGTGGCTGCTGGTTACAGTGGTCTGATGGGAAGAGGTGGCTGCTTGGGTCCGCAGCTCCTTTCCCTGCCAAGGGAAGGCAGTTTTCCCCCTCCAGTGCTCCCTCAGAAGAGTGTCAGAGCACACACAGCCCAAGCCTCGAGAGAGCTTGTGCTGCATCGCCCCGACTCTGGGACTCGGCGCCGGATGCGGAAGCACACGTGTCCTTGCGCCCACACTGTGGCATCAACTCGAGGAGCAGACGTTAGGTCTTGCCGTCGTGGATTTCTCTGTGAAGTCCCAGCAGCGGGGCGACTGATGCCAGCGCAAGCTGTACTGAGCGCGCTGTACCAGCGAATCGCACTCCTCCTCGTGGGATTTTGCCTAGCGGGAGCTGGCTGTCTGCTTGCTGATCTGGATGAATCCGCATGTGCCGAGGAGCCGCAGGCGGGCCTTGGACAGGTCCTGACCTCTGCCTGTTGGCAGGTGAAGCTTTGTGGGTTTTATTTTTACCTTGAGTCGAAGGCAGCAGTGTCGCTGTGGAGTCTTCGGTAGACAGTGGGATTAAAAGGATGGTTTGCGATCAGCGCCTTCTCTGGAAAGGTCTGCTCGAGTTTCTGCCCACAGCTTTCTACAGCGCACACAAGAACTTGCCCTTGTCCTACATTAATCCAAGCAAGGTTTTTGCAAAATGAGCACCAAGACAGATGCTCACACGTGAGCGGAGCTCCCACCTTGTGCTCGGATCCAAAACGAAGGTTTTTGAACAAGTTGGGGGAAATTCTAGTTAGGTTAGGCCTTTTACCCAAGTACTTTCGGCCTGGTTACAAATCTCAAACCCATAATGAGGAAGGGCAGCATCGTAGACGTCCAGTTGTAACTCGGGTGGGACCTCAGCATTTCCCCCTACCCTTTTTCATTCACTGGTGGATTTTCGGCGGTGAAGCTCCTAAGACCAGCATCACTCTGCCATTGTCGTCTCCTTTTTTCCAACAGGCAAGGGAGATACAGGTGTGAGAAAGGAACCACGGGCATCCTCTCCGAAAAAATTACACTCTTGGATCTTGAAGTGGCGGACGAGACAGTGCAAACAATGGATACATCCTGATCTGAACCGATCAGGGTAGTGGAAGAGGGAACAGACATGTCCTCTTTGCTTTTGGAATGCCCAATTGTATGCTGGGCTTGTACACTGTCTGGTAGAATTAATAAAAATGAGAACTGTCTAATCCTTTTTTAATGACTGGTGTTGGCGTGGTGGAACGGGGCAGATTTGTGAATGCTCATATTGAATGTTCCTTGTATCTCTTGGGGGACAATTTATTAGGGTGTGTGAGTCTCATGCCTCCCCCCCCCCCCCCCGCACCATAATATGGGGTGAAAGTTCCATTGAAAAGAGGGCGATTTTGAAAAAGCCTTCCTTGGGTAGCTTTTTCTGCACAGCTCAACATTTCTGCCCCTTCTAAACACATTCCAACCATCAAAATCATGCCAGGACCCCTCGTTTTCCCAACCCTATCCCAGAGATGCTGAACCTTTTAGAGACGGAGTGCCCAAACTGCAACCCAAAACCCACTTATAACGTGCCAACACTGCAATAAAACCTGAAAACAATCAGTCCAAGCACATACATACATACATACATACATTCTCTCTCTCTCTCTCTCCCTCTCCCCCTCTCCCTCTCCCTCTCTCCTTGGTAGCACACTGACTAATCACGCGAAAGCTCGGACGAGTTGCGGCTTGTGATGTCATTGCCTGGCGCCGCTACTCCTTTCCGAGCGTGCGCCTGGCCCCTCTGTGCGCTGGAATCCGATGCTCGGCTGGTGGGGCGCGTTGGCTTGCGTGCCGACAGGGCTCTGCATGCGCGCTGTGGCATGCGCCGCATAGGTTTGCCACCACTGGTGTGTAGGTTTGCCATTCCATGGACTCTGAGCAGGAATGTCATGCGAGGACGACTGCATGCAGGCTCGCCAGGGTGTGATCACGAGTAGCACCACGGTTTCTTTTTACAAAGAGAACTTTATTTAGTAAATCATTTAAATCTTATCTAAAAATGCACAGTTGCAAAAAATTTCTTTGGAAATACACTTACTTAAGCATTAATAGGCCTTACAGAGCAAGCAAGAGACCAGGCTGCGCAGACCTGTAACTCGAAAGTTCCCAGCAGCCAAAGACCTATTCAGTGTTGCACCCCAAGAGCAGGTTGTGGTTAGTTCAAACGAAGTCTGCAGCGCTGTAACGAAGCCTCTCTCTTTCACTTGCTTTTAGAGTAGAGAAAAAAAGACACACACACCCCCCATCAAAGTTTGCAAGCGGTTGAGCACAGAACTGCAGAAGAGAAGCAGCGGTCCTCAGGATGACGCTGGCTCGTCATGAGATCAAGGGGCCCCGACTTCCCCGTGGGCTTGTACTGCCAGCATCTTTCACAGCAATTAAACAGATATTAACACCTAGGATGATTGTTTAGAATTGATAACTAGTTGGCAGTGCCCTGCTGCTTTAAGGCAGTGAGGGGTTTCGAGAAACCCACCCAAAGGATGCATGTGTCGCCTCCTATTTCCAGGAGAAGGAGAACCTGCCTTGGAAGCACGGCCTACAGGCCATGTTTCCGCTAATTAGCAACTGATCACCCACCTCTCAATAGTGTCCTCCAGAAATACTGAAGCTGAACAAGGGCAGATGTGAGTGACTGACTGGACTTCTTACTCCTTCAGAAGGTGATGACTTTAGAAACGGGATCACCAAGTTAATGAACTCATTTTGCTGACACTTAAAAGTACGTATAAATGAAAACTTGCTAGTTCCTTCAAATCGGCTTGTTTAAAATATTCACATTCATAAATGAGTTTTCACAGTAAATAAGTGTGGGTGAACGTTTTGCGCTAGGAAGAAATTTCGTTGACTTGCATATTTCATGGTCAATGTAAAATCCTTTGTTTCGAACACTGTTTCGGAGTAGTTGGGGGTGGCTGGAGTACCAATGATTTTGCAAAAGGGTATCTATCTTCCCCGATCCTAAACTTCTGCTTACAGTAACACTGGTCATGTAAGTGTGGATTTTAAGATGCGCGTCTCTGTGCCAGTTCCAGCACTGGAGCGGATAGAAAAAGCTTTGGTTGGAGGTCGACACCGACTCACTGCAGCCACATTGACAAATAAAATGCATTGCAAAATATTCATTCTAACTTGTCAGTTACAAAAGAATCTTCAAACATGTTCCCTCTCTAAACCCCATTCTTGCTAGGGAGGGATGTACGAAAACTCCAGGCTGGATGCTTTAAAAAAATATATGAACTAGAAACTGAACTTGCTATTAACCTTTGGCAGAAGAGGCAAAGTAGCAGTTACACAAATTACACAAAAAAAAAATCTACTGTAGTTTTTACATTAGTATAAAGTGATTTCACCAAAGGAATTATTTCAATATTTCACATTAGTTAAGATACAAGGGGTGTGTCAAGTACACCAATGAGAAACCCTTGCTATTACAGCCTAGCCTAATCTAGATTACACACAACAGTTTTAAGAAAGGACTTTGTAAGTGATCTACGTCTGTAACATGTTATTGGCTTTGTAAAAAGCGTCACTTGCAGCAAAAGCAGGCATCTCAGCCTTCCTTCACTGAGAGGATCCACTCTGAGCACCCCTGCAAGTGGCCTGCAGAAATCGTGAACTGTCTTCCGAGGAAGGCTCGACTCCCCCACTCAAGTTTGGCGAGGCACCTCTTGGTTTCGTCTGAGACAGAAGGTTCAAGTAAGACTAAGCTGGGACGGCTTTCCTGGGAGCGCGCCGGCGGACGCCTCAGGTGCTGGCGGTCCACACGTGCATCTGTTTGGCTAGCTGGTGCACGAAGCCAATGTCGGGTCTCTGGTCAGGGTCTGGGTATATGCACATGCTGACCAGCTCCCGTAACTGCGAGGGGGGAGGAAACAGAGGCCCCTGAAACAGAGCGAGCCGCCGGCGCTCGGAGCGCCCGAGCCCCAGCGTAGGCCAACTGCCTGGAGCGGATGTCGGCATTCGAGACGTGGCGCTCAACGCCCACCGCGGGCTGGTGACGCTTCAAGCCCAACCGCCTGCCCCATCACTCGCCCCATCGAGCATACGGTCCCAGGCAGAAAGGATTAATGCCAGCCAGAAGGGGCTAATGCTCTGCCCCAGGAATGCAGCGGGTCTAGCTGGACGCCCGCCCTTCCAACACTTGCTTTATGCATGGACTAGTCTATTTAAACAGCTGGATGCCATCCATCAGCCCGCGCTTCTCCTGGGATGGTCTGCAGCATCCCAAAGAACAGTAAGATTTAAAATCTCAATGCTCGGGTGGAGAGGGACAGTGCGCCCACAACATACCCGCCACACCCAGCTTGCGCTCTTGTGCAAGGGGGAGGCAGCACAGGAATGACCTCGGCTCGGAGCAACCGCAGACGGAGCCCAGGTAGCAAATACGCAGCTCCCTTGAACACGCAGCCAAGAGGGCCGAGCGCTTGCAAGGACGAGTGTGAGGCCCACCTTCCCAAGAGAGCTCGGATTACCAGGCGAACACAGAACTTCCGGGGAGGAACACGAACCGGAGACGTCTGGTTTGCGTGCTTGGGAGCGAACCCGGCTCAGCCAGCCCTGGCAGTGGAGGCGACGGACTGGGGAGCAGTGGCTTCCGAGTCCTGCGGCAGCTTGCTTTTGGCAAGTGGGCTAGCTCAGGCAGGCAGAGCACCGCGCCGGGACCCTCGTGCTGGCGCTGCCGCCGCTTGCATAATGGAGGCGGTGCGGACGTGGCCCCCGCCCCCGCCTCCCAGGCCTTTCCGTTTTGCACTTGAAAGAGGGCAGCTTTTAATTACGCAGCCCCTGGAAGCCGCGCAGGCACCCGATGGCACGGAGAGGAGCGGCCGCGAGCCTCTGATCTTCTCCCACCCTCCCAACGGCAACAGAGCCAATTATTTTCATGGTAATTAAAAGCAGGAGGGCCCCACAGCCAGACCCCGTGCGCCAGGCCGAGGCCCCAGCTGGAGGAGGCATGGCGGGGACCCGCCTGCCCCTGCTGAGGGGAGTGCCCAGAAGAGCACCCCCAGGTCCTCGCGGAAGGCCGGGAGACGCAGACGCGTCGTCTGCCGGGCCCGAGGAGCCTGGGTGCGCGCGCCCTGCCTCTCCGGAAGCGGGCTCTGCGGGGGGACGGGCAGAAGCAGCAGCCTCTCCTCCGGCAGAGGGGCCCGGACACCGCTGCTCCCAGCCAAGCTAGCCGGCCCTGCCGCGGCCCGCATCGGCCCCTGCTCCCCAGCCTGCTCTCTCCCCGAAACCACCCAGGTGAGGATGATGGAACCACTCCCCCGCCCGCATGGAGCACCTGCGTGCGTGGCATGCCAGCAGGGACCGTGCCGTGCTGCGCAAGAGCGGCAGCATGGCTGGGGAGGCCCCTGGCCTTCTGCGCACCGCACCTGCCTCGGCGCTCTCCGGGACCTGCCACCTCCGGGCTCTCCGCGATCTTTTCACTCCGAATTGCACCGCTGGGCAGCGGATGCTCTTCCGCACTGCCAGAGGGAGGGAGACGGGCAGCCACGGGAGAGGCAGGAAGCCCGTCTGTCACCCTGCCCTGATTCCTGCTGCCACAAAGCAGATTCCAAACAGCTGGGGAGGCACATGCCAGGCCTGGCGGAACCGCATTCGAGGCACCAGTCATCAGGAACGGCGGAAGCGGCGCCCTCAGCACTCACCTTTTCAGAATAATGTTCGGCTGGAAGAGGTGGGTAATCGCACTGCTCTATCTTTTGGCAGAGGGAATACAGGTTCATTTTATCACCATAGAAGGGACTTTGAAGAGCCGCCATCTGGAAAGGAAAACACGGAGAGGAGGACTGCAGGGGGTGCCTGGCAGAGCCAGCCCAAGCTCACGTGGGTGACTTCCACGCGGGGCTAGCTCAGTTGCAGCCCTGGCCACGGAGGCCTCCTGTCCGGCGCTTGCATAACGGGGGGGGGGGCCCTCTTCCAAGGACTTCTGAGGACTTCTTGCTTACAGTGGCAAATTCTGTCCCTCAGAGCCATGCTCGGGTGGCACATGGACCAGGAAAGACTCTGCGGCGTACCCGCAGCTGCCGCTCCAGTACAGCATCCACCACGTTTCAGGAAGCAGGAGCCGCACACTCCCTGACTCCAAAGGAAAGTCAGGGCGGGCAGCTCACCCCTCCACAGAGAGAAGGACCTGCAGACAAGGGCCAGACCACCAGCGGACCTGACAAACAGAGGAAGCCCCCGCGCCACAGGGGATCTTAAGTGGGGAAGTCAGGCAGGGGCCCTCAACCGCCTCCCAGAAGACCGAACCTGCCCTGCTCCCCACCGTGACACGCATTTCCCTCCGAAGGGCCTTCGAGGAGTTGCTGTGCCGTGCGCCCGGCCAGAGGAGGGAGAGGCGCCGGCAGAGACTTCCACGGCACCCTGCGAGCAGCATACCCAGATTGCTGCATTCAAAGGACGCCTGATGACCTTACTTGCCCTACAGAAAGATCTGGATTCTTACGTAAGAGCCCTGCCGCTTTTCAGGTATCCTGTGGCTATGGAAGAGACACTTTCATCTGCGCCGAGGGGAAAATTTGTGCGGGCTCGGCAGAAATGCCACGCGGCATCAAGCCGGTGCTCCCGGATGACCGACACGGGATTCCGGCTCTGAGCCATCTGCGCGTCGACAGCCGCAGACATGGCTCAGCGAACGATCCGGCGGGGCGCTCCGGCCGAGCGCAGGAAGCCGCCCTCGGCGGCAGGCCTGCTCTCACACACGGGGAGCAACCCCCGGGCTCTCCATGGGGCTCCGGCGGCTGGATGCAGTGGCAAGCTCACGTGGGCGGCCCTGCTGTGTGACTGTGTGGGAAAGCAGCTGGGCCTGCTGTCCCCGAGCCAGGCTAAATTCAACGCAGGGCCGGGATACAAGGGCAGGGACTTCTGCCCCATCTGCTGGCTGGCCGCTCTGATTCGCGGGGGAGGCCTTGTGGCCATTTGGCCCCGGCACCCGGACAGGCCAGCTCTGCAGTGGCGCCTGGCCTGTGGCAGGGTCTCCGGCCACGTGCTTCAGGCATGCACTGAAAATCTACCTTCTGGACTTCGGAAACACCTCTGGTATCTTGTTGCTAGGCATGTGTTGCCTAGCAAAATGTCCAGTTTTGACGGAAGCTGCTCCGAAGCGCGTGCAGTGAAGAGGCCATTTGCACACCTGTACCTGTCCCTCCAGCCAGCGCCTCCTTCCACAGGAAATGCACCAACGCAACCGAGCAAGACAGGCAGACATGCGAGGAGTTGCTGGTGCTTCCAGAAGTCGACCTGAAGCTCAGCGCAGGGGGCGACGCTGGCCGTTGGCCGCATGAGTCGCACGCACGTGGAGCTGGCCAGTCGGCCCCGAGGCGCATCTCACACACGCTTCCCCTCCTCAGGCTCGGGAGCCCAAGGTGGCCGCCCCAAGCGGGCTCGGCGGAGGAGGGCAGCCGGGCCCCC